AGCCACCCTTCGGAGGAAGCTAATTTCCGCCGCTTGTATCCGCGATCTCGTTCTTTCGGTCACTACCCACAGCTCGTGGCCATAGGTGAGGGTAGGGACGTAGATCGACCGGTAAATTGAGAGCTTCGCTTTTACACTCAGCTCCCTCTTCATTACAAAAAAACAAAAGAAACCCATCGACCCACCAGGCAAATGCCCGGTATGCCCAATGGCCAGTCCAGCTATGGGTTGACATATGACCTGGTTGCTGGGTTTTTCCTGTTTCCCTGGACATTACATGTTCTGTCCTTGGGGTGAATTTGTTGGGACCCCTGGAAAGATTGTTTCCCACTTGTGAATAATCCTTCTCATTATTGGAAGATGGACTTTAAATTGTTTGGAAATGGCCCAAATTGATTTTCTGAAATCACTGCTAATGTTTTGTCCTTGGGATTGTGTTAACACGTCAAAACACGTCCAGATCAGAAAACTGTTGTTACAGAGAGAGTCCGATTTACTGATTATCCCTGTTGTTATAACCTCAGGATAAAAATGCTCGGAAACTCACGTGCCAGTTTTAGGACGTTTACTGACCACTTTTAGAAACAACCACAGCTAGTCGCACACATACAGGAAAACTGTCCCATACATAACATTCCGGCAGGGAGAACCCTGAAAATCCTCTGAAGGTTCCGGGGTGCAACGCCCCCAAACATACATTAACAATAACACTGTCTATAACACCTGTAAGGGCATATTCTGATACTACGTACAAGAGAATACGGTGTCCTTTCTGTTTACCATGACTGCAGTTTGAAGCACCGCCATTTTTTGCTTTCATAACAGCTTTGGATATTTTCCTAATCAAAAATACAAACAAACTTGACAAATAGGTGGATCCTTTATTACTTAATAATACCTATAATGAACGTATTACAGAATATGTACAGGCCCCGCTGACTGGTAGTCTTGTTCTGCCTGGTAGTAGAGGTGGGAATCACCATACATCCCACGATACGATATTATCACAATACTTAATGTAACCGGTGTGATTCTGCGTTGTGTCTGATAAAAAAGGTAAAAGAAAGAAAGACCTCCAAGTAAATAATTTGCCCACTCCAGCTCCTCTCCCACAGGGGAATTGTAGGAAAAGGCGGGCTGGCATTTATTTTTACATTAAACATAAAATATGCATTTACACGTAACATATTTGACATAAGATAAAACAAAAACAACAACATGAAATCCGACATACCTGATAAAAAAGGTAAAAGAAAGAAAGACCTCCAAGTAAATAATTTGCCCACTCCAGCTCCTACGACCAAATACAAACAGTGGGGAAGAGGGTTAGCTCAACCCACCACAGCTCCCAAGCTAGCAAGGAGTATATATTCATGCCAGTATTTATGGCGCCTAAAACACATTTATGATACACACATACTACACACTTATAACATCTTACAAAAACAGGCTTAATAATGACAATAACTGAACTAACATCGCAATCATAAACATCAGGGTGGCTAAATATGAATTATGTGTGTTTCAGGGTGTTGGAAAGAAATTACACCCACCTCTCCCACAGGGGAATTGTAGGAAAAGGGGAGAGGCAAAAGGGGTACACTGTATTTATAGTATTGCACCAAAGAAGAAGAAGAAAAGAATGAGGAGGGGCTCTAACTGATAATGAACACAACTACAGGCTTGGAGGTCCTAAAAGTCAGGTATAAAAGGAGCAGTTTGGGGGTTTAGAACACATTTTGTGTAATTATAACAATGTGATTTATGACTCTGTTACATTAACGCACGATAGGGCTGGGCGATATGGCCTAAAATTCATATCGCGATATAATTTGAAGCATGTGCGGTAACGATATATATCACGATATATTCTTTTCTTCTGTATAACGTATTTTCCACACTATAAGGCGCACTTAAAATCCTTTAATTTTCTCAAAAATCGAGAGTGTGCCTTATGTATGAATTCTGGTTGTGCTTACTGACCTCGAACCGATTTTGGCGTGCAGAAATTTGTTAAAAATGTTTTAGTACAACTTTGGTAAGCCACACTGCTTGATGGATTGTCGAGCATTACGGCTGCTGTGGTGAGGAACTTCGTGGAGTAATCTGGGTCCAAAACTCCGTCCGTTTCAGGTCCCAAAGTCAAACGAACACTGAGAGTTAAAAACGGTCTAAATTATTTCATCTTTAATTAAATCATCAGCGTTCTGCTCTACCAGGTGTAACAATTAAGTTTAACATCCAGGCATCCATGAAAACAGAATTTATGACATTTAACGGAGTTAGAAGTTAGCAGGAAGTTAGCTCGCTAGTTTCCACCTAAACATTTCATAGCATGTTCTGACAGAGATTTTTGAAACTAATTCAAACGTACAGCTCTGCTACCACTTCCAACATAAATGAAGACAGAAAACTAAACAGCAGTGACGTTTGCAGGGTTACTGAAGTTGGTATATAATGTTGTGCTACGTGACTGCTAGCGACACAGCTATGTTAACATAACATTAGCACAGTGAAGCTGGAGGATGAACGCCAACTTTTTTTCCACTCGATAAAAGTTAACGTGAGGGATTCTGGTGGTCAGGGACAAATGCAGTCGCATAGCAGGATGCTGTACACGGGCCAAACTTCAGTCAAGAGAACAACTGACATCATTCATCCACAATACGAGGTTAGTTATTCATATACTGCAACAACATGGGAATAGAGTAGCTGCGAGAAAATTAAACATTAATGAATCAATGTTACCGAGGTGGAGGAAGCGCAGTTTTTGGCTTCCCCCATATTTCAAAAGTGCTTCATCTCTTTGCTATGACTGTCGGCATAATTTGCAGATGGTAATGGTTTTAGCCGCTGCAATGCTTTCGACCAAAACAGGCGCAGCTTGATGACATCATGCACTATCGCAATAGAGCGATATAGTCAAAATCTCTATTGTTGGCCAAATTTATAACATTTCTATTGTATATCGTTTATATCGCCCACCTCTAACGCACAATACGATATTATTGCAATTTTTTAAAATATTTTGCGATATTCAGATTCTGTACATAAAGGTAAACTTTATCAATATTCATTTTATCTAATAACAAAGTCTCACACTCAGTCTTTCTCTCATGTCAGTCAGTTTTATTGTTGACAAACTTGAATGGTTTGTATTACAGTCTAGTCCCACTGAACTGAATGCAACCATCTGGTACAATTATAGCTATTCTGAACTATGCAATATGAAAACTATGCAGCCCCTTCAGCAACTGAAGAATTTGAAAGTAAATTAAAACAAAATATAATTTTACATTAAATTAAAAAGTTTTAAACTTAATTAAAATAAAACATGTCTTAAATTAAAATAAGTAAACTGTCATGTTTATTGCTGCCAAAAAAACCGTTAAACACATTTGGACAGTGAAGGAATGTCAGGATTGTTGCTCAGAAAAAGGATCAACATGCTCTGAAGTCAGCATGTTCCAGTCCACGAAAAAATTGTTTGTAACAAAATATCGATTTCTGCTGTCCCTGTATCGATACATTATTAGCAAACAAAATATCACGATACTACACAGTATCGATTTTTCCCCCCACCCCTACCTGGTAGCAGGTTGGGCAGGACAGAACAAGCCCCACGAGGCCTGCTTTTGGCCATTTCGAGTGATATTACATTTTAATGATTCATATTTTGCCACAGATATAATGACCACCTCTCCCATAGTGAACCCGGGGCAGTTGCCTTTTAGAATAGCATAACATAAGCAGACATTTTGGATAATTCATATAAGCCATGCCTGTAGCAAGAGAGTCATGCACAAGGTCAAAAATCTATTTAGATGTTTCCTAGCAACTGGGCTGCCATGTAAAAAAAAAAACATACACCCTGCAAGAGTTACCATTAGGCTAAATAATAAAAATGCTTTAAAATCTTATCTAGCTGCTAAAAGCTAAAAGAATTTCCAAGAGCTCTGTCTGTTTAGTTGGAGCTGGAGTGGGAATAATTTATAGTCTGTACGAGCAGACATGCTGATAAAAATCCCAGTCAGTGTTCTTAACTCTCCTCCAAATCAGGAACGCGAGTCTAAAGGAACACGAGCAGCTTGTCAACACTCTTCATTTCTGCCTTTGATGTCTCCCAGTTGATGAGCGGCGCGCTCGTCGGCTGCGATGACCCCGTCTCTGCTAACCTCTAAATGACTCTGGCGATCGCTGAGCTTCATCTAAAACGCAGCAGCAGCTGCATTAACACTGAAGACGTCCTGAACGGTAATCACAGAAACACAGAGCTTCTCACTGAGAACAGATGCCTGTTATTCATCTTGGTCAAGTGATTCATAATCAAACTTCAGCCAATACCTTTTGATTAGCCTTGTCTCATGCTTTCTTGCTTTGTGGTAGATCTTTGTTCTGTTTTCACTGAGATATTTGAATGCTAATCAATAAAAATCAAATCAAATCAAACATCACTGTTTAAAGGATTTGTAATAACAAATACTAATCAAACATTATTTGCCATCACCACATTATTGACCATAATTAAATCTCAGACCACATAACATCAGGACCACTGACAATGAACAGCAAGGTCATGTGACAGGCTGGCTATAAAGACAGTATGTGCAAGTCTGCCAGAAGCAGGCAGACCAAGGAGAGGGCTGACTGAAGCCCTTTATGCCCTTGTCCCAGATTTTGCACCTTATTTTAAAGCGTTTTAATCAGACACAGATGGAAGGTGGGATAAACATGGATACAACTGCTTTCATACTCTATTCATAAATACTTCCTGTTTTATGCGACAGCAGAATAAGAGGATAGAGGTGGCTTTAACAAATACATCACATCTCATTCATGTCATTTTACTGCACCTCCCTAAACACCAGCTGAATCTGAATTTGTCTTTCACGCCATTCTTGTTCCTCATTTTCTTCCATGAGGCAAAATTACTACAACTGTCTCAGGTGAATAATGATTTACTTATCACCATGGCAACGCTGACAAATCGCAACAGAGTGTTAAAAATACAAGTTGCATGTAGGTCACATGCTTCGACACGAGGATTTCCCAGATCCCAGTGGCCCACGTCGACACACAGACGCTTTCCTGAGCAGCTCGTGCTGCTTAGAAAAAACACCACAGACCTGAGTCACACATGATGGAAAAACTCAGACTGTTTGCACTCTCTGCATGTGTGCTGGTTGGAGATGTGATGAAAAAAACAAACATGTCAGCGGAAGATAAGAAAGTGAATTTCAAGGCAGCTGATGCCATCAGACAAGCAGGCAAATGCTAAAGCAGCATGAAAACAGGCTCGTAGTGCTGCTGATAGACAGGATAAGGGCAGCTGTGTGTGTGTGTGTGATTAGCCTGCTCAATCCATTCACCTCTCTGTCCCCACCAACAGCACATGCAAGACGATGAAGGGAGAATCTGGGGGCCAATGATGGCGCCCCGTTACCATGCCAACCGGAGGCGGTGCTTTTCTATAAAAAGCCAGTAGTTATTTTACATAATTCCAGTCACTTTGGGTTTTCCACCCTGCTCCTTGAGACTAAGGAGCTACGTTACCGAAGCAGGTTTAAGGAGGCACGTCCAATTGCAGCAACCACGATGCCAGCGGCTCCAGCGTCAGCAGCCGTGTCATCTCCACGGGAATGCTAAATGCACTGATTCTTATACAGCGCTTTTCTACTCTCCCGGAATACTCAAAGTGCTGCATACAACGTGCCTCATTCACACAATCACACCCATTATCTATACGTAGTGCTTTCTAAGTACACACACATTCATACTCCGATGGATGCATCAGAGAGCAAGTTGGGGTTAGTATCTTGCCCAAGGATACTTGACATGCAGACTGGAGAAGCCAAGGATCGAACCACCAACCTTCCGATCAGTAGGTGACCAGCTCTACCTCCTGAGGAGCCTTTTCATCTTCATTCTGTTTGTGGGTGATGACTGGAGACATAGCGCTCTGAAATCACATCGTACCCACCTCAGAAACCACAGGTCAAAAGTTACCGTATGGCTACACGATGTACGATTTGGGGCAGGCGGTCACAATTTATTCACTTCTGAGTTCGAGTTGACCACATCTGCATTTTACTTGTAAGATGGAGAGGCCTCAAACAGAGAAACAGCTGTTCTTCACGGCTTTGTTTGTTGTGAATCTTGTAAGTTTGCCTGCCTCCACGTGTTCAGTCATTCTATCAAACAGACCGTTTTTGATATTTACACTTTAATTTCCCTTACTTCATTTTATATCAAGAGGATTTAACTGCTTGAGCAACTTTGTGTGTCCAGAGGCAACATGCAAGCTGTTACCATTCAGGTCATACGTGGAGAGAGAATGATGCTGCTAGTCTTTGCTGTAGGAGCGACCATGACTTTCACAATCACAGCCTGATTATTCTTTGAGTCACAAGACAAATTTTAGTCTTTATAGTTTTTACTTTAAAAACACTAAAAATTCCTTCAAAGTATTTAAATGTTTCAAATCCATCCAGGATGGGTCTGTGGTCTTTTGAGTTCTCAGAATTGGCTGTTTGGGCAAAAGAATGAAAACACCAGCAAGTTTGATACCATCATCGGGAA